AAGTTTCCAACTTCTCCCTTCCCCAACTGCAGCATGTGGGATCCATGGGGAAGCATGGCAGTGCACTGAAGAATCTTCCCCATGCCTTAAAAAGCAAAGCTTTCCCAAACAGTATTTCCAGAGTAGCAAGAGGGGGAGTGCAGATACCAAGGTCTCCAGAACAGTAAGCCTGTCGAGTTGAAGATGTGACCTTAAAAAGCTCCTGTTGCCTAATCCCATTCAACAACAAATCCCTAATCATATTCTAATCCCTGTCTACCCCCCTTCAAGAAAGCATATGCTCATAATCTGCATTTTTGTATTGTGCAAGAGTTATTTGTACTTCTGGCTGAAACACCACTGTGGGTGTAAAATAAGTATTACTTTAGAAATAAAAGAAATTAAAAGGACATGCTTCCCACTCTTTACAGAAAATCTGTAGGAAGTTGGCTGACCACAGAATTTCCAGTTGGTACCAGAATGCTCTTCTCTTACTCTATCACCTAAATGGTTATTTGCTATTTAAAAAAGAAAAAAAGAAAAGAAAGAAATATGCTATAAGTGTGAAAGAAGGTAAGTGCTTGGTTATCCAAAAGCTTCCAAGGACACCTGGGGCATGCAGTAAAGATTAATTTCTGTGTTTTCTCAAAGGGGCTGAATGGCCAGCAGGATAAAGAGGAATTCCCTGGTGTGCAGTCAGACAAGCTACCAGTCATATGACAGGCAGAGAAGACACAGCACATCTAGTAATTGTCATTTAAATGAGTTGATGACTGTCCAGGAAAATCCTGCGAGTGTCCTTCCTACACATTAAACCCTCTTACTTTTCCTCTCCTAATTAAAGTCTTAATTTCAACAAGAACATCATGTTTTTGACAGTATTTCTATAAGGATTTCCTACAGCCACTCCACACAAACTTTTGGCCTCAGAGGAAACGGTGATGAAGTAGGCAATCACAGCCTAAACCACTTAAAATCCTGGTTTAGACAATCTGAAAGCACCTTTTTATCTGTCAGGCTAAGAGGAGATCAAGGTCGCATTCAGCTCAGACCATATGAAACTCTCCATAGCACCAAGGCAATTAAATCAAAACCCAGGATGATTAAACAATTCAAGATATTGTTGGGGAGTAAGAGGGAACAACTCTGGCAGTATCCCAGGATTACAGCTGAGGCCATAACCAGAAAGAAAGCAGTTGTTGATTGCCTCAGAACACAGGTGGGAGGGAAGAGTGCATTAAAAACTCTTATTTTGTGTGTAATTGTCACATGGACATAACATGCAATAAATCCTAGACAGTAAAATCTAACTTCCCATTTTGTAGGCAGATGCTGTAAACTTATGATTATACTTTTATGCTCAAGACTAGCATACTTAAAATGAATAAAAACTAGGGCCTTAGGAGATTTGTGTACTAAAATATTACTTTTTCCACCACATAAGGCTTAAATATATCTTCCTTAGAATGCATAAAATCGCTAACAAATTTGATCCAGAGTGGGGAAAAAAGCCATGCTGTTGGAAAGGCAATGATATTTGCATTAAAATAAAAACAAACTCACTCACTCATGAATCATAAGAGACAATATAAACTGAGGAACTTAATCCACTGCACTCTACTGAACGTTAATCCTACGACCTCAGACTATTCAGTTGACTAACATTACCTAGGCTTCCAATTGGGACAGGAGAGTGGAAGTAAAATGAAAGGTGAAACTGGAGAGAACTTAAGTATATTCTTTAGATAATGGCATCACTACAGAAAGTTCTTGTACTAGAAGTTATAGGAGTTAGAAAAGGGTCTTTCTTGCTTTTAGCAATGTCCTCATGTCTTGGATTTATTAAACCATCCCTCTAATGACTAAATCAGTAGTTTAATCCATGGGACAGAGCAGCCTTTCACAAGCTGTGAACCACACAAGTATCTATTCTGGAAAATTAAGAATGCCATTTGAAAAACAGAATCAGAAAACATTGCCTCTCAAGTAGGCAATGTGCTGCCAGTCAGCTGAATGTCCACATATTCTCTGTTTAAGATCCAGGACCCAGAAAGGGACCCAAGACCACCTTTCAATCCCTCCCTCTCATAAACGGTTCCCAGATATGCCGGACACCAGTCAGAAAAGCACCTGTAAACGCGCAAAGTCTGACACCACTACGGCTTGTTAGTTCAGAATCTATTTCTAGTTGCTGCCAACACGGTACCTGTGGGGTTGACAGTCCACCTCCCGATATTTAACTGCTCCACTGTCAAACATCCTGTACTGAAGGGGAAAAGGAGGATGGGCAGGAACCCCTCTTCACCCTCAGCCCACCTACCCAGTAAGCCATTTGCAGAGCATTTCATGTTCTGATGCATAAAATCCAATTGCCCTTAAGTTCACTTGCATCATAAAATGGGTCAGTGAAACCATAAAGTTGTGCAAGTCATTTAAAATTCTTCACAATTTATTTCTAGTGAATCCATAAGATAAAAGGCAGTAAATACCAACTTATACACACAACAGGAGAAACCAGTATTCTATGCGCATATCCTTATCATTATGCGGCTCTAAATACCTCAAACGATGCTCAGGCATGCCTTCTTCCTCTTCCAAAGGAAGGATAAAGACTAGAAGCTCTTAAATAGCAGGTTTGCAAGTGCAAATGCTTGTGGAAATATCTTTCCAAGCTTTGGTAATCAGCATGGCGATAGCCTAGATAAGCATGCTTTCTTTCTTCAGTTGCTGAATATCTGGAAATCCTAGGTCAGTGGTTAGTACACGTACATAGATCAGCCACGTAGTACAGAAGGCATTAGGGTTTTCTGAAGTGCCACACCTGCACAGCACACACTGAAATAGGTGCATACAAGCCTGTTAAGACTTCCTGCATGTATCCAGACTATCTATGTAGCACATGGACACAGTTCTGCCTATGAAGTATCAGGCCTTAACAGCAGCTAAAGAGGGAGTAGTAGTATTAAGAATTTGGCAGAAGTCAGTCTGGCTTGCATTATCACTTCTACAGGTCTGTACACAATTTCTGCTTTTCCACCACACAAGCGACAACTACTATCGTAGCTGTAAGAAATAACAGACAAACTTTTCCCCCAGAGTTGCAATGCACCTGCATGAAGTAATCCCATTTCAATCTTGGCAACCAGACCTGTTTGTAGATGTGTACACTGATTAGGTTTCAGCTAATAGGAAAAGCTATTTCACATAGCAGCACCAGGAAGGACACTAGAACAGCTCTCTGTTCACTTGCCTCCTATGTAGTGGTGTTTGTTGGTTCCAGGCCCAACAGCAAAGAAGGGAGACCACATTGACATCAGCACAGTATCCATCAAACTGAGAGTTAACTGATGGAGTAAACATACCGCCAGCTCAGGAAAACTATTTGGGGAAAATTCTCAACTTCCATTAGGAAAAAACCCCCTAGAGGTTCCAGCCCTCAGAATTTTCTTGATGACACTTCAGTGTCCGAATTTCTCCATCTTCCAAAAGTTACTGAAGGCAATAGCTAACAGTTTAGAGAATGAAGAGGGGAGAGGACTGTTCTGGGAGAACAGGTAGCTTAAATAACCCAAGCAACTGGAGAGGCATTAGATCAGTTTATTATACTAACCTTCAGTACTTGACATGTTGGTATTTATAAGAATACAGCACCTAGAACCACCTCTGTTTCTTCCAACAGAATAACTTACCTAATGGATCAAGCCTGATCTAGTAATATACTTGATGTTGTCTCATTTGGCATAGACTAGGTACATAAATCTGAGCCATGAGAAATTAGGTACACAAATTGTTATTCAGGTGTAGTAAATCCTGCAGGGATTCTGTCAAATCAGGAGAGAGTTTCGTGAATATCAAGCCGATATCAATTCTATCTGGTGCTGCAGGATTGCTGAAGTGAGACTTCCCTCCCCGGTGGACTCAGCACCTACACCTTGCTGGAGGTACTTGAGACACACACATTCTAACTTTCGCTCACCAAGGGCTTAAACAGGGGTGGGTCAGTGGTGAGAGTAGGAAAATGTAAGTATTCTCATGGTCCCTGAGAAGGCAGCGTACACTAGTAAGTCTACAAATTGCACCCAGCCAAGAACTAAAAATAAGCTGTTTAGGAGGACGGGGCTAGAATTCAAAGATCTTGGTAAGTCAGAGAAATAGTTAGAAGGTTTACACTTGGGGAGGTGAGAACGGACAAGAGACAAATAAGTGACCAAATCACAGGCTGGCAAACAATGGACTACAGCAGGTCTGTAGACAAGGATGTGGTCTGTTATAATCCCTAGACAAACATCACATTTCCCAGCGTGATGCTATTACATAGAAGGAAACATTGCATTCTTGAGTATATTTGTCACAGGAAGCCTTAGAGAAGGTGGCTATTCTGCTCTGCTTGCCTGACAACTTGCCAACTGGAACGCTGTTATCCAAGTGTGGATGCTTCTGTTGGTAGGGGGCAAGTTAATCATGGGAAGTCAGCACTACAACGCAGGTCAGGTTTTTTTCCCCCCCCCTAAACTGTGGGAAACAATGGGGTTT